TATGCCTCAAAAATCAGGGGTAGAAATGGAACCGCAACAAAAAATAACATTTTTAGTATGGAGTGATGAAATGAAACTTAATTGTGATATGGAATGTATGGAATCATACTCCCATCCACCTTAATATAGATATAGCATGTGCGGATTAACCTACATATTCCTTTTGGAGCCCCATGCGATTTGAGAGTAGGGGAAACAATTATGGAATCATACCAATTAACTCTGACCATAACCATTTTTTTTGGCATAACTATGTGGTAAACATTCGACCCATTTTGAGACATAGCTGCATCACCCCACTTGGTGAAATTTCATCCAACAACATCCAAAGACATCATCTGGTTGGTGGTATACCTACCCCTCTGAAAAAATATTAAGTTGGGATGAGTATTCCCAATATATGGAAAATAACAAATGTTCCAAACCATCAACCAGTCTTGGAAGGACTTGTTTCTGTGGTGAGCACTGCTTATCGTGTCGGATTAGCTCAAGTAAGTTATGCAATCAGAATCAACATGAAGAATGGCATGCAACCTATGCACTTGCCCGGAAAAAATGGTGAGTTATATAAATACACCCGCAAAATCTTACGCGAAGCAATTTAACAGCCAAATGATCATTGAAATCATTTGGATAGGACACAGAAAATCAGACGTTGGATGGAATGAGTCTGAGAGTCTGAAGAACGGATACCTCATGAGAAATTTCACTTAAGTTTTCAAAAAATGGCCGGCTGTCCGGGTATACCCCACATCTTCTTCCCAGCCCGGCGTCACCCATGGAGTGCATCGAAGCAAAGAATTGAAGGCAACAATGTCGGGTTGCACCTCAGACATCTGGTCAGCTTTGAATGATGTTCAATTTGTGTCTATTTCATACAGTAAACATATACATCTATATATATATATATTGCATATACTTACACATATATGTCATAAATGTCATCATCTACATGTGTCATATTGTTTTTCTACTAATATGTGTTCCATTACATTTCTTTGCAGTCATTCGATATGTAGGTGGTGAGGTCTCCCTTGAAGCCGGCCTGGTGCATCTTCGCTTTCGTGACCTGTTGATGCTTCGAACCACAATAACTTACCTACAAACATGGAACACATCACATCACATTCCTTGTGGGTAAATCATCTTAAATCCTTTCAAATTATTTACGTTATGTACTATATATATATATTTCCCTACATCAAGTTGTGTTTAAACTTAAAATAACTCATCTGTTATCATAACTTCCATTTTTAACAATCTTAAACTATTATAATCCTATCATCTATTATCTCACCTTAAATTTCCAGCAAATGATCATAAATCCCCAGCATTTACATCACTGGGCCTCCCAACCCGCGACCTCTGAGCGACACTGAAGAGCTGCAGTGCCTACGTGCGTGGATTTTTTTGTGGGATGACTGGATCAATATCACCATTGATGAATATTTATATGGGATATCGATATATATATATATATATATCCATTTAATGGGGTATTAATTGATTTATATGGGATTACTGGATATTAACATAATGGTTATAAAATGGGATTCTATATAATCCAAAAAATCCATGAATATCTATATATATATATAGAGAGTTACGTACCAAAATAATGAGTTTAACCCATTAATCCAGATACATGGGATTCATATCATGGGTTTCATAGATTTATATGGGTCACCCCAATAATATTTTGAAACAATTTTAAGAATTCACTACTTTGAAATAAGGATGTCTTGGGAGAGTTATCCCTTTCATTCACCATCATTTACAGTGACGTTACGATGTGAGGTTGTTATGATTCAGCCATATTATGGGGAATCCTATATATAATCCAACTTTTGACGCGAGGCACATGAGTCACACGGACTGCACAGTCTCCTACCCCTTGCACAGGTGGCGGGTATAAGAGACAAATCGACGTCTAAATTCCACATGCATTCACCTAATTGTGCAAGTTGGCAACGTTTTGTTTCTTCCTCAAAGCTTTCATGTAGGCAGCGTATCTATCGTGTCTCTCAGCAGCCGTCGGCTCGATCAATCTATCAAAAATCCAACTTTTGACCATGGCACAAATGGATATGTGTTCAAAGGGGGCAATACCCCAAAAATTGGTATTTCAAAGGAAAAAATGATGAGGCATCAAATGTTGGTGGTGTTCCCAACATGTTCATACAACCCTCAAGAAGTTCCAGAACAAACAAAAAACAACATCTCAAATGTTCTGCAAAATTATCACATCAAAGCAGAAGCTGTGGGGATGTTTTCACCATGTTTTCACCATATTTTTTAAAACAAAAACGTGCATACACAGAGTGTGTGTTTTTTTTATTTTGCATGGTTTTGACCACATCCTAAAAGTTTTCAAAGTCATCCCCATTTATAAGCCTTATAAGTCCCATATAAGTCGTTCTGTATAAGTCATCCTGATAGTTTTAGCCCATCACACGCCTAAACAACTGGCACCAGACACCGACGGCGCCTCCTCCCATTTCGCATGGCTCAGCCTCCGGGTAAGGGCGATCAAATCTGCTGGGGGACCTAAGGAAGGCGAAGGAAGGCGAAGAGGTGGGATCAAAGGTGATCAAACTCCGATTTTTTGATGATTTATTGATGGTTCGTTATAAAAACTGATTGTATGCTTAAATATCTGCGTTAAGAAAAAGCTATGATGGATTTATTTACGGAATTGTTTTAAAAACTATGCTGAACTATGCTGAACAAAAAAACATATGGATCGATTATAAGTCATCAAACTATGGATTCTTATATTGTTTGTTGATGGCTAGCGGGTTTTTTGGATGCTTATATAGAATTTGTTAAATATTTAGGGATTTGGGAATCACAAGAACTGTGATTTGAACTCGGAGGCTGGAGAATAGGTTCTTATTTGCTGTTGTTACCACCGAACACTCCAACAATGATGATTGTAGCTTTTAACTTGGGGGTTTGCAGTAACACTCATTGATGTACTAAAGCCGAAAGTACGCCATTCCCAACTAGAAATGTGTGGTGAATAACCGTCACCGATATCCCGATGAAGCATTCATAGGGGGGAGAAGTTGGCTAAGCCGAGTGGTACACTGACCGATTTCCATGACTTGGTAATAATTTACCGCTACACCATATGCTCCCACAGTATCCCATATTTACCTACATTTGGGTGATTTTGGTGCTGAATCTTGGCAAATGTTCCCTACATGCAGTGTATGGGTAGAAGAGGTTGAAGTATCCAGTCTCCCTTGGTGACACTTCGTGGCTCCGGGCTTCGCCCTTGCTCCCAGTGCCCGTTCCAGGTGCCCTCGCATTGTCGACATTGCATGGCACATGGAGCCGAAGAGACGTACCATGGAACCACAGGGGAGGATGTTTCATCTGCTTATGAAGATCAATTCCTGCATTTTTGTTGATTGTTTGCCTCTGGTAAAAACCTAAGAACTCCCCTGATCATGGGAAATATCATACATTTATTGCCCAAGTTAAACCAGTTATAAGTACTGAACTAACCCCATAGACATGGGATGTATCATCCCATTGAAATAACCAGTTGTAATTATCACTGACAAATGGCCATTTTTCTGTATATAACTGTGACATGTTGAAGTCACAGAAAAATCGTCGATTATTTCTGAGGATCACTGGATCACTGGGAGATCTGAGGAGTTGGCGTAGCCAAACCCAAGAACAAGCGATAGATCATGATAGATCATGATAGATCTATACGATAAATATCCAACAGCTCTTTTTCTGACATAAAGAAACACTTCGCAAAGGATTTGGTACCAGCTTGGCATCTAGCCCTGCCAGAAGTTGTTTCTGCGCCATATGTGCCCTCAAATGCTCCAAAAATGTGAACTATATAGGAGTGACAAAGAGCCAAATATATAGAGTGAACTTGTTTCCAGATTTTCCTCGTCTGTGTTCGTTTTGTGATGGTTCCAACAAAAATGCAAAACAACAACTCCATAGGCATCTTTTAGTCATTGGTTATTTTTTCCGACAACTTACAGGAAACGTGCATTTTTGGCTACAGCTTTCATTCGCATTTCCTGTTGATTTCCGGTGATGATACATCCACATACATCTATATATAATATTATATAATGACATGCCCCCCTTTTAGCAACAACCATTTTAGCAACAACCATGATCATCCAGAACTAATTAAGCTGCAGGATGCAAGTCTGTAAGCTTTGCTGCTGAAAAAGAACATCTGTGTTGGTCGCAAAATGGGCGAGGTTTACCACCCAAAATCCGCCGGTTTGTCGTCATTTTCCTCATCAAAAATTGTCAAACATGGATCAATCTGGACTTACCCTCTGGTAAACTAACAGTTTGCTATTGAAAATGGCCATTTATCATTTATAGTACAGTAAGTTTTCCCATAAAAAAAATGGTGATGTTCCATACTTTTTTGTAAACGTTTACCAGAGGGTACCCAAATGGCTTTCTGCTCCCAATCTCACTGTTAGCCTCCAGCACCTCCCGGTACGAGACGCCCTTCTTCAGCGCAGCTCCGAGATATTTTCGCGCCAAATTTTAGGCGTTCGACTGTGCTGCACAGCACAACTGAGCCCGGGATACTCAAGTGGGATACGCGTTTCAACGAAACAATGTGAAACAATCTATGAATAAAATATAATAAAATAAGTTCCAAAGTTCCAAAGTAAAACTGGGATTGAAACATCCCATTTGGCATCCAGCTTTCTCTGTCCCTACCCTATTGGCACCATGTGACAGTCGACTATGGCCAGTGGCATCTCACTGTTTGGCTCATCATGTCGTTTGGCCAAGTCGCAATGATGTGGCTACTTCTCATACGCAGGAAGGTGTGGGCAGCTACGATTCAATCAAAATAGATCAAACTAGTATAAAACGGACCCCTGAAAAAGAAGGGTGACTGATTCCCTTTTCCCAGCCTGGGTGAAAGAAGATAAAAGGACATGCTCATGCCACACAATTCTTGCAGAATCAAAAGCAGTAGCTTGAGACCCGTGAAACCGACATCACATAGTGCTTTCAACTCCAACAGCAGTATCATTTGTGAAACCGACGACGTGACGACGTGTCCAACATTTATTGTTCCCTTCTTCAGGCTCGAGCGGCACGGCGCACTTTGGAAGAACATGACATCTCTGTGGACACAAGAAATCGTCACCTCTCTGATTGTACAAATGAAGGACATCTAGTCCCTCTTGGCCCTTCCTTGAAATCTGCTGGATACACTCTGGATACTGCCCAAGTCAATTTCTCCGTGGATTTTTGTGAAAAAAAATCAAGTTACAGTAAACAAACAAATCACAGCCCGCGAATGGTTCCCCTGCCTTGACCCAAATGATTTTCACAGAGGAGCCCACGAGCCGAAGCGCGCATCAGTCCCTTGGGGAGATACACAGCCTGCAGCGCGGAAAATGCATAGACAGGCCATAGAAAACGTGACGTCGCACAGGTTGATTCATGTGATCAAAAAGGCTCGGATGGTCTCAGTTTCAGATCTTAAGGGTCACCAGTTAGCAATCCATCTTTTGTCACTCCTGGGCCATAAAATTGATACATACAATCTCAAGAGCACTACAAATATTTTTGGCTAATAATCTAATCAATTATTTACGGTATTTGATTTGTTGATGTTGAATGGTCAAACACAATCGTATTGCTTTCATCTCAGCATTTGTTGGCCGATACAGGATTCAGTTTCACAATCTTTGGAGAAAATCTGATCAGAATCATTTCCTGATTATGTTTAAAAGGTTAGCAATATACTACATACAACAGCTAGTCAACAAAAAACAAACAAATATATATATATATATTACACCTATATATATATATATATACATGATTATACATGATTATTCTGTGACCTCTGGTTGAATTGCATGTTACATATTGTTACATGATGTTCCCTTATAAACATTTAGGGTTCCCCCCGGCCCCACCCTGGAATACCACGGCCTCGCCAGCACAAAGTTTCGCATGGCTCAGCGAAGTGCAGGGCTGGAGGCGGATTTTTGCATCATGCTGAGCCTGAGGCCCATTCGGAATGGAGGATGATGGGTCTACAGTTCTGGCCCGAAATACATCGAAATACCAAATATAAGATATATAAGTACTGAACTAACCCCATTTATGGAATGTATCATCCCATTGAAATAACCAGTTATAACTAATAAATCGCCATAACTGTAGATTTTCTGCCAGGGTGTTAGCCTTTATAGTCTATAGTCGTTTCACAGTTTGCGAACTGGAAGCTATGGCCCAGTTAGTTCGATGATTTTCTGTAGCTTTTTCAAACATGGTGAATATCCAGTATCATCCAGTATCCACATTACTGGTCTTCAAAATGTGTTGAAGTCTTCAAAGACATCATGAAACCAAGGTGGGGGGGCTTAACCGATAGGAATGAACATTGGCTAGAACTAGGATGAGTACATATGAGTAAATACTGTCTGCCAACCCCGGATTGATTAGTCAGTTATAAGTCAGCTATAACCCCATGTAAGGAATGTAAAACAACTGTTATAACCATATATTTTTGGTGAAGAGCTTTAGCTGTAAATACTTTCAGTAAACCATGGGTTTTTGAATTATGGTAGCCTCGAAATAGTGATTTCATATGAGTTAAGTGGGATGATAATTTCAGCCGTAGCGGCTTAGTTTGTTACTCGTAGCGGTGATGTTCCGGGTGAAAGCGAAAAAGTGTTTTTTTTATACCTCCTAGAGCTGCTGGGTTTATAGCATTTATATGCATTTATGGTGTATACATAATATACATAATATATAAACATAATACATAACCGTGTGTATATATATATATAGATATATACGAGTTGTAAGGTGGCCCCTGCCTACCTGGTTGCGAATCATAAACACAAACATTATCATAGTTATATACATATATATATATTATATATATAGCGTTATAAGATCTTAAAAGTTATATCTACCATAAATCCTGGCGAAGGATTGGGGGTCTCACCTTGGTCTGATGAAAAACTGGGAACTGCACCCAGCGGTCGGCAGGGTGCTAAAGTCCTCGCAGAAAACGTCGCGGTGTTTCGGGTGGTGCCAAGAATACACCATGAAACATAAGGGAATACCACACTTATAACCAAGAAAATGATGGATTCATATGGTTCATATGGGATAATACCAGTACAGGAGAATATGGGGGATAATAATCATCATACCATCCCCCACTGTTTATGAATTTGAGATGATTTCTGTTGGTTAATGTCATGGTTCATCATCACGGGTATCTCCCCAATCGTGCTTCAACCGGTTAGTGATTTGTCGGCACAAATGCCAAAACAACATCAATCTTCGATGCCCCGCAGAAAAAAAAAAAAAACATCCAAGATTGTCTTCTAAAAGCTTCTAAAAGCTTCGAAAAGCAGATATGTTCGAAACCAACAACCACCAGCCCCCAGCCCGTTCTTTGCTGCTTAGTCACCCCGAGCAGCGAAAATCCCCACGGATTCCGAGGTTTAGCCCTTGGAAAGTCAACTAGGGTCCACTGGGTCGACCACCCTATGTTCTAATAATCTCTGATAAGGTTACTCAATATAAGTTATTGGTTCATAGAATATGGTTAATTATGGTTAATTGGATATGATATCAACTGGTTGGTAAATATGTCATCACTAATCAACCACTAATCAACCACTAATCAGCCACTAATCAACCACTATTTCAACTAATTTCATCATTAACATGGTTAATCATCCCCTATTTCATCACTACTCAACCACTGTGAACTGGTCACGGCCGGTCCTTCTTCTGTGTTGCGCAGCTGGGGATCCACGATGGTCGCCGGGGCTTGTCGATGGGAATCTGACGCCGCTGGGAAGCCGTTTTTTCAGAAGAGCATGGTGCCCATGGTTAGCTCAGTTAGCTTATAACTACAATAGTTATGGATTTTATATGATTTTATGGATTTAACTGATGGGTTTATAACTACTATAGTTAGTTTATAACTAGTAAGTGAGTTTAGAATTACAATCATAACTGTTGGGTTTGTGAAGATTAGCACTATAGTTGGATGGGGTTCGATGCCGACGGACGTGGCTTGGATACCCTGCAAAAAGCACCATCCAGACCATCCAGAGGTGACCCAAATAAATGGGATCCTGGCTCTTAGATATGAGATGTTAGATATTAAATGGGTGATATAATATATATATATACATATGTGGGTCATATATACAATATATGTTATATACATATAGATATATATTATAGTTGTTAGATATTAGATGGGCGATGAAAAAATCACTTACTGGGATGCACATCCAAGAGTCATCCAAGTGAATGTTGAGGATGATGTAAAACATGATATGATGGTATCATATGGTATAATATCTGCCTGGTTAAAACTGTTCTTGACTGGCTGAATATGATGGTGGTGTTCAGTCCGGTTTCATGATCAGGAAAAAAAAAACGTGGCTTGATTTTGGTGAAATTGTGTGAATATGTTTTGACATGATCATTGTCAGGAACAAAAATGACCATTGTCAGGATATCTCAAATGACGAGCCATTGACTTTGCCATGCCAGATGTGAGATACGACCAACCATAGGCCACAGTAACTGGCCACAGGATTACTAATCAAATTCTTCCCTAACATGTATATAAATAAATGGTTGTAAATGGTTATATACATGGTTGTAAAGGTTTATAAATTGTTATTTCAATGGAGTCATACATTCCAATTTATGGGGTTAAAACTTATAACTGACTTATAACTGGTAAAGGGCTTAACTCCAGTGCTGTGCGCATGATCATCCCAAGCTTCGTATCTTTGCTGATCATGGCTTCACACAGCCCTCTTAGATAATTGATATGGTTAGTGTATGTTATTTATTAATATGGTTCATATATGTTAATATGATTAATTCATCAAACGCTCTGAAATTTGTGATGTTTGTGTTCTTTCACTCAGAACTCACAGCCAGCTTACAACTCATGTGCCAACATCTGCGAATTGCGTCATCAATTGAAACCCGAATACCATAGCAAACCCTTGGCTGAATTTGCTGCACATTTAGCATGGTTGTTTCACTCATCAAACCGCCAGGGCAGTGCTTGGGGTCATGAGATGATTTGAGCAATCACTTACCATCTCAATCAGTAGCACTGGACCTGCACATGGGCCAAAGAAAATTAAGCAATGGCATGATTGGGAAAATCAGTTAGTTATTCCATTTGACTTGGGAAGGTTTCCCACCATGTTCAAACCTTCCCCATGGAATAAATCACGATTTCCCCCATCAAATCTAAAAGGTATGGTAATTGCTGAGTAAACCAGTAAAAATAACCCTATCCCATCTCATGAAGTACTAGTTGGTCGTAAAGGATTTCCCTACTATGGGTTATCATAATCAGCAATAAAATAGATAGCCCCTAGTTCTTAACTAATCAGGATATGTTGTTAGTGGCTATATCTTGAGTAAGTTGAAATTCCTGTTATATTCCTATCATAATATATACCCTTTGGTTATGACTAACAGTTCGCCATGGTATAGATGGCCCATAGAAATAGATGATTTTCCCAGCTAGAAACCTCCATTTATGGTTGGAATTTTCCATGGCTATGTTACATAACCAGAGGGTGTATATATATATATATTCAGTATTCCATAAGCAATCAACCAAGGTAGTATTCACTAACATACATTATATAGATGATTATAGATTATATGATGTGACTTGGAGCCAATTCCATATGTCCTCTTTCATAACTAACCAACAAGGGTATTATTCACCATTATCCATATCAAACCAGGGTACTTTGTTCATGGCTCATATCCCAAACCCATGGTATACCTATAGCCAAAATCCATCATAAATGATTCAGATGATTTTATATATGATTATCATATTATGATTCTCATGGGTCACATGATTACTGTATCCATTATATTACCTATATACCTGAAGTATATATACCATCCATTATGTCAACTTATAGATGTTTATAGATGTTTATAGATTATTTACATGAATGTAATAGGACTATGATTTATAGGTGATTATTAATATGATTCCAGATGATAATCCATGATATAGATGAACAACATATCCATGATGATCCAAAAAGAGTTCCCCTGCTCTACCGGGAGCTCCCGACCCCTCCAGGCTGCGTGTGTGCCATGCGCATCAAACGCAGCAGGCCGCGCTTCTCGGTGTCACCCACCTTCCGGGGTTGACATGGTTTAACCATGAACAATGGTGGTATCATGAACCAATCTCAAATGGGGATATATGATGATATATGTAGACCTCCGAATACCCCAATAAAATGATGCTTTACCCAATAATTGTAGTACTTTAACATACTTTAACATACTTTAACATACTTTAACATACTTTAACATACTTTAACATACTTTAACATACTTTAACATACTTTAACATACTTTAACATACCTTAAGCGACTTCAATCATTTTTTGGGTGTATTTGAAGGTCTGGGTCTAGGTATAGCCAGTTAATTGTGCCAACATATATTAAACATCCCCAAAGCAGAGCCGCCCAAATCAATAGGTGGGAATTATACCCTGATAAAGAAGTCCATGAACTGCAAACTGGTTAACATCCAACATAGAAACCAGTCCATGGGGTGATCCTCTCAAGTAAGCAATATTGTTGTACGCAGGCAGCCAGAGCAGGTGCCAACTGGTTGTACCCCGAACTAGGGGTTATGATGGGTTACTAACCCTATGTGTATACCCCAATAGAAATGGCTGTTGAAGTATATGAATGGGGTGTACCCCTTGTATATGTTGGTGTTACTGAATTAGTATACTCAAATAGAGGCGCTTCCAAGAGGAACCAGCCTCTTTGCCCATCAAAGCGTTGAATGTGATGGTGATTTAAGTGATACGACATGTGATAGGACCAACTCTTTCTGGATCAGAGTTTCAACAATCGCAATAATATTTGTAAGATTCACCCTAATCATAAATGAATATAAATCACACATCACGCTAATTGCTCGATAGCCGATGAATGACCGGGAAAACAAGAATAACTAAAAACATCTAAAAACCACGTTTGACAAGGACACTATTCCTCTTTTCTCCCATCGACTGTTGCCAGCTTTGAGGTAGTGCAGTCTTCAGTTCCCAACATCACCTACAGGGTGGTTCCCTGCAGTGAAATGTTTGTTGGGTTTTGTTACCTCCAACATTCACTGTGATACTATGTGAATTCATGCATATATATAAATATTATACATATAATATTTCTAATATCTGGTTGGTGGTTTCAACCCCTCTGAAAAATATTAGTCAGTTGGGATGATTATTCCCAGTATATGGATAAATAAAAAAAATCCAAACCACCAACCAGATACTATATATATATATTATATTATATATATACCCTCCTGTAATCAAACATGGCAGTGGACAATCCACCATTGATGATTTTGCCGGCTTTTTGAAACCTGCATTTAGTTCGGGGATTTTCGAACCCGCAACATTTGATTACCAGAGGGTATGTACCGTAAACATCCATGAACCCAATACTCAATCTACTGAACTAAACCAAATGAGCTAAGGCTTGGGGCGGTGACCCGTTGACCCGTTGACCCGTTGCCTGTGCCATCCAGGGTTCGATGGCATGATGCATGTGCGGCCTGAGTGCGGAAATGTGTGATGGCCAGGGGACACAATAAAAATGGCCAAGTTCTGGTAATATGGAATTTATGGGATTTATGGGAATTATTCATGGGATTTAAATTATGGTAATAAGGTAATTTACAATTTATCACCATGTTGTCCTGGATTATGGTGATTTAATGTAATTTCATGGGATTTCATGGGATTTGATCGGATTTGACTATAATATTGCTATCCCCGGAAAGATGTCAAAAGGTTGGAAACCTGGAACTATGGTTGGTAAATCTCATGAAACATTCACATTCTGGAAACACTTTTCTACCTTTCTGGGTCTTAATTACTAACCAAAGATTCATTTCTGTCTTTGCACATGAAAAATGATCGCAACATGCAAACACATTGGCATCTGGGGTAGATTGAAACTCTTTTGTTGGTCATGAGAATTCCCTTAAAAAAAATGGTGGAATGACCATCCCACAATATGTGTGATCCAGAACCCCAAACAAACAGAAGTAAACGGTTGTTTCCTTACAGTAGTGATTTTTTTTGCATAGCATCTTTTTTGTGGGAAACGACCATTTGTGGTTATATCTGGTTCACCTAATCCGACTTTTGATGAAGTTGGTTTTATATCCCCTTATATCCCCATTTAGTTGGTATATTCAATATCATACATGCTTTCATATCAACTATATCAAAGTATCCAGCATTATAGTTGACTATAGTGGGTCTTATATGGTTTTATAATTGTATCCAGTTATACTATCCCCAGTTTAATCTACCAATATATATATATATAATCACATTCTTCACGGCGGCCTCATGAGAGTCTTGAGCGATTCCTGCGACGATGCAGGGATGGCCTCATAGAGTTGTTCTGAGTGGTTAATAGGGCTAGGAATATGTTGATCAATGCTAATCATATAGTTAATCACAGATAATCATATAGTTTTTTTTTGTAATCATATAGTTAATATATTGATATATATATATTGGTTAATCAATGTTAGTCATAACGTTAATATGGTAATCATATAGTTAATCTATTGGTTAATCAGTGTTAGTCATATAATTCATATGGTAATCATATAATTATATAGTTAATATATGGGTTAATCAATGTTAGTTATATAGTTAATATGGTAATCATATGTAATCATAATGTCATATAGTTAAACTATTGGTTAATCAATGTTAGTCATATAATTAATACGGTAATCATATAGTTAATATGTTGGTTAATCAATGTTAGTCATAACGTTAATATGGTAATCACATAGTTTATATATGTTGGTTAATCAATGTTAGTCATATAGTTAATATGATATATGGTAATCATATAGTTAACATATTGATTAATCAATGTGAATCATATAGTTAATATGGGGAATCAAACTTACAATGTGGAGCCCCAAATGATAGCTAAGTTGGTTCAAGTAGCTCCAATAGTTATGGTTTATGGTACTTGCAACAAACTAGTATTCATGGGTTTATTAAAAAAAAAATCAGCGAACATAACTGGGGGACACAAACATAACAAACATATGTCTGTATATATATATATATATGTATATGTGCATATATGTACATGTATGAGTTTATAATCCCACTTAATAATCCATTTATGGTTTAGTTTATTAATTAGTATATATCAGTATCAGTTTATAATCTAATCAATCATGGATTATATCTCCACCAGATCGAACCAGGTCTGTCACCAGTATCCTCGGTGCCCATCTTCATGTGAAGCTGCGAATCTGCTGGCATCGACATGCTGACCTGGGTATTTTGTAAAAGGAGCCTCCTTTTAGAGACTGCTGTGGGTTCTGTTGGTTCATTTCAATGGGTTTAAAACATGGTTGACACGATAAAACTATAGTTAGATTGGTTCAGAACATGGGTTACGGTAGATCAAACATGATAAAACTATAATTTAGATTCATGAACATAAACCATCATTAACATAAACCAGCTAACCAACATATCTGGGGCCTGGGCCCCAAGCCCCCGGAGAATATGACCTACTTGGGAAATGTTGGGAATCTACTCCATTCCATCCATGAAGACAGCAACAGACTTCTTCAATGCTTCAGAGGAAATCCCTAAAATGTTTAACCCTACGTAATTTTCACGTAGCTATGGAAAATCACAATGTTTAATAGTTAATAGGTAAACAATCATAAATCATCTATAAATGGGCATTTTCCATAGCTATAGCAGCTATGTCAAATAACCGGATGGTAATTCAACTGTCCACAATCCAACACCAAGGACGATCAAACCAGTTTTCGCATTGGGTCCAAACCCTGTGACCCTGGGACGTAAAAACACTCCGGGATAGATGGCAAAAAGATGTTTTTTTATTACCCAAATGTGGTCCCAAATATGGTAGATTAGCTTCTGATCTTTCACTACATCATCTATCATTCATTTAACCATATGAATCTAAACTAGTATTATCAGTTCATATCATTTCGCTATGTTAACAAAAATCCTTTGTTCGCCATTAATATACCCAAGTCGCTTATGTTACCATTTATACCATTTATATTCCCATTTTTTACCATCTATATTCCCATTATAGTGCGCTATTTATAGTTACCATTTTATAATCACCACTTTATGATGGACCAAAAAAAGATCCAAACAGATCCAAAGAGCCCGCCTATCACGATTCGTCGCACCAGTCAGGTCTTCGTCACTCTTGAGCCAGGCTGTTTTTGACGTCGCTCAGGAAATTTGTAAAGGGAAAGATGTACTTTCAACTCCAGACCATGGCCAGTTTGTTTTGTTCAGATCATCCCATGCCATAGTGTCAAAGAAAAACACACATTAAAAAACACAAATACAGTAAACACAAATTGAAAACCATCTCTCAAAAATCCCCAGATCTAATGTGATCACATCCTATTGGCGTCACTCTGTTCCCAACGCGGCGTTTCGATTCTTTTCCGCCAGCTCTTCTCAGGCCTTGGTTCGTTGTTGTTTCATCTTGCGGAGAGTCTTCGCCTAGCTCCATGGTAGGCATACCCACTGGGGCCCCCAATTGGTCGATGATTTAATGTGTCTGGTTGATAAGTTCATAACCCAGCTTGTAAAATTGCCTGTGCCACATGGTCCCACAGTACTAGTCTTGGATGAACAAAACCATTCTGTTTTCTCGGTTCCTAACTGGTTTCATCCGGCGAGTGATTCTTCGACATCAGCTTTCAGCAGCGGCATCCTCAAACTTAAAAAAGTTCACCCGGTTAACAATGGTTAAACCCCCAACAACCATCAACAAACAAATTCTTTTAGCCACTGCTTAGTGCTCGAGGGTGAAGACAATCTCTCCGCCTGTTCGACCTCTTCATCTTGCGCTTTTGCTTGAGCATGCTTCTTCAACAAGTCCTCCGAAGAGTTTGTTAGACAGTGCCCCCACACTGATGTTGGCTGATTTAGAACACCCATTAAGTAGTTCGAACATGATCGAAATATATACCGTACATGCATGCTACTTAACCTACTTATGGCTCCCAACTTAGCCAAGGATTAGAATAATTAGGAGCACCACTGATCACCACCTGGTACGGTACTGCAGGATGCCTTCGGCGCCATCGGCCAATCCAACCAATTTTCACACAGTTGCTCCCAACACCACAGCGTTCGACAGGACCGAGCTTCACGGCCCATCAAAGCATGGTGCCCGGGCATGTTTCCCTCTGCGGCTATAATTTAGAGATCTTGGTGTGAGCAACCAAAAATGAAAGTTAAAACAAATCGCAGTGAATACCATGTGATATACCTTTGACTCCCCAGTAATTTCCAACATTTAACCCAGAAAGATAGAGGGTATTTCACTCACAACAGCTACTGTAGCGTCTTTGATTGGCCCACGGCCATCTATGACAGCAAGGCGCACTCCTACAATAAGGGATATGATTCACACAAATCCTTGGGAATAAACACCTTCCGCTTCTGAGTAGGAGCTACCAGTTGCTTGGGTTCATATTGTGTTTGTCGGTTCACATCCAAAAAATGTTGCCGGAAGAATCGTGGTCAGGATGGGTCAAAAGCTCACACAGTCATGGTTATATAAACTCATTGGATTGGTTTAGTCGGGAAAATCTTCACCGGAAACCATGGTAGTTAAATATTTCAGGGTTTTCGGTCAAAATTGTCCCAACAAAACCAATCCAATGATAAACGGACCATTCACCAAACGCTGGGCTCGTCCTTCATGGCTTGCTCCACCATGCCGTTGAAGCCCTCCGGTGGCTTAACAGGGGAGGGACTGGAATGGTACGCCAGGTTCACATATCTCTTATATGGATTAACATAGATTTAAAATAATGGTACAAGATGGTACAAGTAAACCTCAAAAGGACAGATTTTAAAAGTAAAAAACTATACTAAAATATGGGACCGGAATTGTTTTGGGAATGCCCACACCGCTGATGGGGTCCCACACCGGATTTTTTTTCCCGTTTGGGATGTTTTGTTGGATCCGTTTTTTTTATGCACGTTTTCCTTCCTATTTGCAGCATTTTGGAGCTGGAAGCTGCCATTTTAAACGTCTTTGCAACATTTTGGAGTTGGAACCTCTCATTCTCCATCGAATTTGCAACATTTTGGTGGAGCCTGTAACATGTTGGAGCTGGAAGCTGCTGTTGAACGGTATTAGCAGCATTTTCGAGTTCGAACTGTTCATGTAACATGGTAGTTTGCAACTAGGGTTCATTTAGAGTCGGTTTTAGGGTTAGTTTAGGAGTTTTGTTTGGTATTAAGCTTTTTGAGGGTTGGTTTTAGAGTTAGGGTTTATTTAGGTTCATTTAAAGGGTTGTGTTAGGATCTTTTTAGGTTTTTTTAAGGGTTTGTTTTAGGTTTTATTTGGGCTTGGTTTAAGATCTATTTGTGGTTGGTTTAGGACCTATTTAGGGTTGGTTTAAGGTTTGTTGAAGGTTGGTTTAGGATCTATTTAGGCCTGGTTTAAAATATATTTTAGGGTTCGTTTACGGTTTATTTAGGCTTGGTTGAGCATCTATTTGGGGCTGGTTTAGAGTGTGCTTAGGGTTTATCCAGGCTTGGTTTAGGATCTATAATATCTAGAGTTGGAGTACGACCTAATTATTCAGGATTGGCTTAAGGTTTCTTTAGCGTTGGTTTAAGATTTATTTAGATCTGGTTTAAGATCTATTTATTATTTAGGGCTGGTGCGAGTTATTTAGAATCAGTTTCAAATTGATTTCAGGAGTGTTTAGGGTTTACTTAGAGCTGCTTTAGTGTTTCTTTGTGGTTGATTTAGGGTTTATTTAAATGTTTTTTCTTAAGGATTATCTGCAGTATGAGAAACAGAAGAAGAGGGAAAAGCAGAGAAGCAGAAAAGCAGGTAAGCAGAGAAGCTCGAAAAGCAGAAAAGCAGGGAAAAGCAGAAAGCCGAGAAGCAGAGAAGCTGGAAACGCAGAAAAGCAGGGAAAAGCAGAAAGCCGAGAAGCAGAGAAGCTGGAAACGCAGAAAAGCAGGGAAAAGCATAAAGCTGAGAAGCAGAGAAGCTGGAAACGCAGAAAAGCAGGGAAAAGCAGAAAAGCGGAGAAGCAGAGAGGCAGCACAGTGGAGAAGCAGAGAAGCAAAAAAGTGGAGAAGCAGAGAAACAAAGAACTATAAAATTTTTAAAGCAAAAAAACAGGGAAAAGCAGAAAAGCAAAGAAGCAGGGGACAGAAATCAAAGAAAACAAATGACCAAAACGGAAAAAAACATCATTCATCAAAAAAAAATAGCTCTCCCTAAAATACTATTGATACATTTTTTTTCGGGGGATTGCCGTTCAAGGCATTAGCTAAATACTCAGGATACATGACTTGAACATGATATGGCTGAGTAGTGATAGCGTCATAGGCATCACATCATCATATATTTGCCTGTTACACAATCACTAACAAAACTATTTGCATGTTATCCGAATTGGTTCACATAGCTATGAAGCTCATAATTCGAACACCGCCGTTCGCCAGTTTCGAGTTCACCATAGGCTGTCCAAGCAACGAAGAAACGTCCAGACAACCCTGTCCCATCTTGGAAATTCAGCAAAATCATATAAAACACTGGAGTTACTGTTGATACTGTTGACCGCATCGCTGGATCACACATACATTGTTTGCATACATTCTAATCGGCCAAAACATCAGTAATCCCCTTCCATCTACTTGTAATATTGACTTAAATACACCCACACAAAACTGGTTTACTGGTTTTAACCATCTTGAAAATATGAAAGTCAATGGGAAGGATTGTCCCATATATTATGGAAAATCAAAGCCATGTTTGAAACCGCCAACCAGGAAAGTGCTCCATCTGCGAGGTATGAAATCTATGGACGGGGGGAAAAAGACCGGTGGAATGACATGGGTGGACTGCTGGGTGGTCCGAGCTATGGAAAGGTACACTTTTCGGTATTTTCACATAGCTATGGAAAATGGCCCATAGATGATGTTCTTGTCAAAAATGCATATTTTTCATGCGTTCAACTACCAGAGAAAAATGGCGTAATAATAATACCAATAGCCAACAGCATCCATTAGCATTGTACACGATGGATCAATATAGATCAATGATGATTTTTATGAGTATCTATCTCAGCTGCTACTTTGTTACATAATCCACATAGAATTGGGGCATCTTTCATTTTACTAAGTCACCACAAAACACAGACGAGGCCTTGTAGGAACGCCGGTGTAGCAGCACCGTGCTTGCAGTGGCTTGCGCTTCTGGTGCACGCTTCTCCTGCGTGTTCCGTTTTCCCAGTATGAATGAACATGAGCGGATCCCCAATCATGGTTTATTATTGTTGTTCCCACATGATTATCCTTACCCCACAATTAATAATCATCATTATCTCATATCATCCCCAGGTATGATGGTGAATCTTAGATACCTGTCAACAATATCATTATTATCTGGTTAGGACTATTTCTTTTTACCATTGATAGCAAAATACTCAAGTCCCAAAGTATCTAACCAAGCTTGACCCAGAAATACGGACCCTATTGAGGTCTCAAGATAACAAATGATGCCCAAACCTTTCTTCTGGCCAGCTTCTCATTTCACAACATCAGTGTGAAAGATGGCTTAATCGGAACATAAACTGTGTCCATGTCTCACGGGAAAATAACTGAAGGCCCACCAAATGTCTACAAGTTTTCCAATCATACCGTTGTGCCAAAAAAAATGTGTGGTGTACATGCACGATCTTTCCCCAAGTGTTTGATATTCATTAAGAAACAGATGTGAAATTGTGACATCTATCAAGGTCCCCCCGTTTCAAATCTAGGACATATCGGACATATCTAATTGGAACATCTATAAGGTCTCAAATACATGGAACCAGTTCAATCCCATCATTTTGCAATCATGTTCCCCATCTCCTACTACAAGATGAAGTACATCCACTGTTTTGAGTTTGAGACACGAGTCTACCAGAGTCTACCATTTGCGGCTTACATCAAAACCAAAACCAGGAACAAAAAACACAAAAACAATCTTTGAGTTGAAAAAAACATCTGCGATATCAATATTGATACGGATATATATACGGATACCCAAAACATCTCCAAACCAGTCGGTGAGGGTTCTGCCATCATGGCAGCCATGGCTGAAAGGCCCAGCTCCTGACGAGTCTCCGCCTCAACCTCCGCTTCAAAGCCGGGGATCACCCACTGCATGTCCTACCCGGCG